ACGGGTAATTTTTTTCAATATTGATGGGAAATATAGAAAACAACAGAAATACGTTCTTAAATTGTATCTTTAAATCTGTTTCTTTATGATAATTATAAAAACAGTTGTGGCTTTTGTTACAGCAGAGATATACGTTGCATTTTATGCAAAAGGTGCACTTACCGACAAAAGTTAAGAAACAAAATGGTCGCTTGGGAATTACTGTATATTTTTAATCTTGTGAAATTTTCTTATTATAATTTGTATCGTTAACACTCGGACTTAGAGGGTTAAGGATATAAAATCAGAAATTTCATTACTTTAATTCAATATCATTCTACTTTATAAAGTACAGTATGTATACTTGTGTCTGTCCTAGTTCGATTTACAAAAAAAGAAATTCCACATATATGTCGTATTTAATCGAGAAAAATTATAATATTATTTTTAAATCTTTAAAAAAACTTATCTTTCGGTTCGTCAAACCGAGCAGTGCTCTCAACCCTACGTTAATTTGATGAATTTTTTTCCAACCTTTTAGTCCGTGGCAAAAACTGAGAGACCCCAGTTCAATTTTTGCTCGAAAAGTTAGTAAATTAAAAACGTGAATTTAATTAAAACAAAAGTAAAAAAAAGTAGTAAAATTGAAGTTTGAAAGGAAAATGAGAATTACAGCATTAGGTGCGTCGGATCCCACAAAATTAACCCAGGGTTAAATTCAGACACTGAATACACAGACACGTGTTGCATAGACAGCCAATCACTCGACAAAACATCGTTAAAATAACGCAGATTCTGCAGCTCGCTGAAATTCCCAAAGCACTCGGAGCTTTCCTCTTAATGAACCATTTGAATGTAATAGGTCGTCCCTTTTTACCTCATCATTCCTCGTTAACAACGTAAACCGATGGATCTGATTATCACGGATCGATTCAGTCTGTATAATTGCTCGGCAGTCTGGTCGTTAACCAAATTCCCTAGCAATCTTTCGTCGACTCTCTCGAGCATAATAGAGTGTCGTGCATCTGACCTGGATATCCGATCGCAGCGCCACTCGTGGATTCTATTGTACTACACTAGAGATCGTGATTTTCTCTTCACTGTTCAATTACGTTGCGATGATCATGGTTATATCTACGTATGTAGGTTCTAGGCCATCGATGTTTACACGCTTCTGCATAGGATCCAACCTAAAGGCCACACATGTCCAAGAAGTAGTTAAATCGCGAGTAATATCTTCAGCTGCGACAGAGTTTCTCGTTAGCATCCAAATTATCTCCTAACCACGGTAGAAGCACGTTTCTGAACTGATTAACATACCGTTGCTATGCTGCAAATAGTGAAATGAGAAGGAGGGTTATGTAGGGTGTGACTTGTTTCCTTTTTTCGAATAAGTGTAAATTTCAATTCTGCTTAGATTTATTCATTACTTATCGATCGATTTATCAACACTAATTCTTTTCATCCTATGAATAAATTTCGGTGCTCTTGTGTTCGAATTGTTTTTGGTTCTTTAAGTGTTGATTCGACGCCCGGTTGGGGCTTATTCTGGAATTCAGACCGACGCGGGTCGGTAGTTCCCCAATCACTGTGGTGGTTAGGGAACAGCCTGATAAATTCACACTACATATGAAATATACGACAAATATAAACATAAACATATTTAAAAAAATGTGTGGATAAAGATGCGTGGATATATCAATATAATACATACTAACTATGAAATACATACATACAAATTATTTACAAAAATAAGGAAATTTTGTAGCAATATTTAAGAAATGCAATGAAATTTTGCTGGTATTAATTTTATTCAGCATCTTTTTCAATTGTTTCTCTTTAATTTTGTAATTTGACCCAATTTCATATTTTCTACTCTTTTTTCATATACAATTTTATATTCACCGCAATTTATATGCACCATAAATCCGAAGTTCGGTCAGCGTATGTTCTCAAGCACAGAAAATCTTGTTCAGGGTTAATAAATGTAAATTCGAACGGAGCAAGTGAATGAAAGAGGCGCGGTGAATAGAAAGTATCTACGTGCTGCTACTGTTATAAATGCAAACAGCATTATTATGCAAAAGCGTGTGCTGACGAAGTATTATTGCTAGAAAATGAAACGGTAATATTCTTTGGCAAATAATTCAATGTATCAGCCTCTCTAATTAGGTGCTCTCTGTCAACATTGTACCGAATAATTAACCAACTGTAATCGTATGGCTAATCAAAATCAACAAATTCGAAGGTTTACCTTGTCCAACTATTTCAGCGATTTGAAGAAAAATTTATCGCTATTTTTCATAGATACCGGTCATATGGAGAAAATAGTTGTCAGATATATTACAACTTTTTTCATTATTAAGGTTATAGGCGGTTACGGTCTGTGAAAAAAAATGGTTGCTCGACGACCGATTTAGAAAGATTAACTTTCCTCGACGTGATTTTCTCCTTTTGGATCAAAAAAATAATAACGAAGTTCCTCGATTTCTCTTCGGATTACTCGGTATCATTAAAAGTACTACTGGAGGCTGAAGTTCTTTCCAGCCATCAAAGCGTTCGAATCCCTCTGGTGGCCGAAGAAGCTTTCGAACAGCTTGCAAGGGAAATAAAACGCCAGTGAGGGATGATGGCGGTGACGGGCGGGGGAGAAAAGGGAAAACTGGTGGAGAAGGCTCGTTAGGAAGATTACCTCGCGGACCCCTGGCTCAGAAGCCAAGAAGACACTCGACGTGTTAGGTGAACGATCCGCATGTTAGATTAGCCAGGCGAGAACTCGCAGTTACTGAAGAGTCCTCGAGCGCGGTTTCGTCTTCTTTTTTACTTTCCTTCTTTGACCACTTTGCAGAGCGACGCGATCCTTCTAAATTGTTCGATCTACAGGTGTCTTCGGAGAACCTTTTCGATCGAGTACCATTAATACGAAACCAACTGCAAAAACGTTCGTATCCTTACGTTGAAAATGATATTTGTCCTGAAAACATGGGAAGCATAGTACTGAAAAAACATTTGGCATATCAAATAAATGAGTATTTTTTTTTTTTTAATATTTATTGTAATGAAAAACGAATTTTCAATCGGAATAATTTATATCTACAACTAGGAGAAATGTTCTTTTCTGTAGTACTATGCGTTTCCTATTTTTATAATATACTTTGAATATTATTCTTGTATTTGTGTGTATAGTAAATAAATGGAAAGCTCTTAGTAGCAAGTAAACAGATTTTCATGAGGATATATTTGCAGTAAAATTTATTTAACATTTAATTGTACTTCCCTTGCTATTAAAGACTTCAAATTGCAAATGTCTTGAAAAGTAACGTGTCCCTGTAATGGGGTATCTTCGTAAATAGACTGACAATATCTACCAACGTTCACAGTCTCAACTAAATTGGCGACCCGAAGGACTTGGCTTCCCATTGTTAGAACTATAAAACGTTATTACACAGGGTGTCTGACTTATAACGAACATCTAAACTATTTCCTCTGGTATTGCAAGTAAAGAGAATTCATCTAAAAGAAGTTCATACGATTTCAAGATTTTCATGCGGTGATGGCAAAAAGTGATTCCTCCAAGGTCATCTTGAAGGTCACATGACATCTGTTCCTTTTATAACGGAACGTTGTAGTTAACGTCAAGGCGAGTTCAACGACCTATGACATCATCACAAAATGTCGACGACCTTGAAATCACCTTGAAGATAATTTTGCGGAGACCTATTTTTGTCCATCATCCATCATCAATCCATCGGAAATCGTTTAAATGTCCATTATTAGCGAGACACCCTGTATATTGTTAAAAGAGTCAGGAAAGTGAAGCTGATTTATGGTTTAAAGTGAGTAAGAACATGGTAACACAAATTTTCGTTTATCATCAAAGAGAAAAGAGAGTGAAGAAATGTTACCTGGGAAAGTGTTTCATTTTATTAGCGTTTAGCTTTATTTGTCAACTTAAATTTATGACGAAATGTTGTCTTGTTGATATTTTGTTGTATTGCCACGTGTACCTCGTGTAATTACTTACCTGGATTCTGTTTTCACCATTTTATTTTTTATCTCCTCCATTCGTCTCGCTTAGTGGATCCACCAACGAGGAGTGGTTTTTTATTTATTTATGAAACATGTTATTGACGTGTAAAAGCGAGGTATGTAATAGTCGTAGGTTGCTATTGAATAATCCGCTTATGTAAGAAGGAAAAAAAGGATGAAAACGGATGTCCCAGTTTTCTTTCATCAAACTTTATCAGTATGTTTTATGGGTATAAGTAAGAAAAGAATGTTATGTAAACATGGGTGATTTGAAACTGTGTTGAAAAATTATAACAAAAATACGAAATGCAAGCTTAAGCTTTGGATAAAAAATTGTATTCTGCATTTTTGATTTGTAAATCTGTATAAGAAATCATCTTTTCGCTTGTACGTCTAACTTAAATTAAATTGAATATATTATAGCAGATATAAAATTAAACGAAATATATCATCTGACATTTCTTTAACACAAACTTCAACATTCTTACCGAATTTCCATACGACTCTTCTCAAAGGGAACATTGAATTTTTCTGTTCCAGTTTCACCCGATATCGAAAAGATGGGCTCGACATAGTGAACGAAGGAGAAATTCTGAAGAGAAATCGGCACAAGAAGAAAATGAATAATATCATTTGACCAGGACCATCAATCGGTGATACAAATTCAGTACAAAGAAAACTAAAAGCAAAGGCTAAAAACGAAATGAAACGAACTAACGAAAAATGAAGTAAAGAAGAAAAAAGAAAAAAAATACGATGTAACGAAGAAAATCACATCCAGGAAGAAAGTACAATAAAGAGAGAACGAAAGGGGACGAATAAGGAGCAAAGACAAAAGCGAGGACAATCTAGAACAAAGTTACCTAATTAATGAAATCAACGTACATTTATTAATTATATAGATCGATTATACGTATTTCTATTGACGACTGAGAATATAGATATTCATCTATATATATTGAAGGTTAATACTAGAGATTATTATCAATCGCTGTTAATATTAAGAGATATTTGATGTTTTAATAAATATACTGTCGAACAAGAAGAAGATTACAAAGAAGGAGAGAAGGAAACTAAGAAACGAATATTTGAATTTTATCGATCGTAGATCTGATTATTGATTTAATATACCTAAGCAAAGAAAGAAACTGAATTCCTATTGCAAACGCTGATAACGAAAATATTGTAGAAGCAAAAGAAAGAATACAATTTAAAAAGAAGAGAAAGAGAAATTATATGTAGATGTTGATAATGTAATTGTATAGTTGTATGAAACGTTTGGTGTCCATGGGGTCCACATTTAAAGAGATTATCAAGCAAAGATAAGCTTGTTTTTATTGTTATCGCTGAAAATAACGGAAGGGAAGAAATATTCGCAAGGGAAGCGAGAAGAAATTTTGGAAAGGAGAGGAATACCGAAGACAAGGTGATTATTCAGTGTCAAATGTTTAATATGCTATGAAATGTTGTGACACTACGTACGTGTATTTCTTTTACATTTTAAGCTTTCCATTCTGGAACAATTTTTTAACAATCATTTTACCCATTTATTTATTTCTGAATTTTTTCGGAATAACTTGCGTCACGTCCCGCTCGCGAAATAACGAATCTGTAGGAATTTTTTTCTTTGGTTTTACGTCTTCCATCGTTTAATCCTTTCGAACATTCTGTTGCCATCTTTCATGCAGTTTCATTATTCCAAGTTGGAAGAATTTCTTATCTTTTCTTAGCGAAGAATTTGTCGAGATAGACGTTTTACAGGATTTCAGATTTTTCAATTTCTTTCACGGAATTTGGATTATTGAATAAGTTAAATGTATATAATTTTCTCCTTGCAGAATATAAAATTGCTTTGTAGAATAAATAAATAGGAGAAAGTTGGGACGTAACAAGAGTATTAATCTTTTCGCAATGTTTGTAAGGAATGTGTTTGTGAATTTTTGTTGAAAACAATCGAGTTCTTTAGGAATTTCCAAATAAAAAGGTTTATTTCTGATTTAATGTATTTTTCTTTTATCGAACCCTCAATCGTTTAAATTATAAGTTTAAGAGTAGATCTTTTTTAAGGAACCTTTTTTCCATCACTTTTGCTCGCAAATATTAATTTTGTACATTTAGAAATTGCAAATGTACTATTATTCGTGAAATAACCTTAATTTATTGCCAAATCGGTTATCGTGTTGTTACAATTAAGAAATAAATACTTTAAAGCTAGAAAAAGAATTTTGTTCGTATGTCGATATGATAATTTCTTGCAAAGTATTGTTGGGTAAGAGGAATTTTAGCAATGAAACAAGGAAGTGTATATGTAGTTTATTGCTTTAACGATTTAATAAAGCACAATAATTACAGGAAGAAAGTTAAATTTTTCAAATAATTTGCCCGTTATATTCTTAACTTCTTTCTAACTTAGAAAGTTTCAAAGTTAAATTACATATTTTAATTGATTTAACGAGAGAATAAAATAATATAGTTGATAGAAAGTAACAATCAGTTCTCGTTAAGATGGTATTCGTTCGATTTAGGTAAAACAAATTGAATTTATTTGTAGTTCAGTTGTATAATGTACACTGTGAAAGGGTTAATGCACACTGTCGTTCATAATTATTAGGACACCTGTTATATTCGTACAGAAAGTACTATACAACATGAGTACATATATCAGTAAAGATATATAGGGTGTCACTCTATTAGTTTCCAACATTTTTCTCGTAAGCGGTAGATTTGTGAGGAAAATAGAAAAGGACAAGGTTTCATTATTTTTTATACACAGTACGATGGCTGGAATAGATTTTTAAAATTTTCAATAGTTTTCGCGTAATGCCGATACAGCGAATTTTTTTTTAATTGATAGCTATAATTGTTTTTATATTATATTATTTTAACGATCTATCTTTATAACGGCACCATAAATGGAAATAAACATTTGGAGGTTTTATCGTGTACAGAGTGTCCCAATTTTTTCCGACCAAACTTTGTCAGTATGTTCTATGGATATAAATAAGAAAGAAATATTACATAAACGTAGGTGGTTTGAGGTTTTATTAAAAAGTTATGACAAAAATATTACGACTTGCGGTTACTATGATACAAAGTAAGAATAGATAAGCGATATTTCAATCTATATAAGCTATTTTATACAAGCTGTGTTTACTATCTAAGGACGTGGAAGGTGTTGAATTTCTGCCACTGAGATTCTTGTCTTGTATCATAGTGACCGCAGGCCCATTAACGTTCCATTCGCATTTCGTATTTTTCTTATAATTTTTCAACGAAGCTTCAAACGACCTATATTTATATAACATTTCTTTCTTATTTACACCTATAGAACATAGTGACAAAGTTTGATCAGAAAAAAATTGGGACACCCGGTATATTCGTTGTACCACCGAAATTCCAGACTGAGCCATTTTCTTTCAGGGTCTCAATATTATAATTTTTTAACGACCGTTCGGGTTTGCTTCGCGTTCACTAAGTGTCCTAATGCTTTATGAACGGTAGTGTACATACTTAAGTCGCGAAGATAACTCGCATTTTGATCCTGTTTCAAACGAATACACTCTTAAGAGGATTTCTCACACCCTTCCTTCACAGAATTTAATCGTTTAATCGTTTTGAATCAGAGTAAGCTTCCGAATATTTTTACGGAGGGGAGAATGTCGCTCTGAATCGCTTAACTAAGGGCCGCCAAAATGAATCTGGAAGTGGAACTTATCGCTGGGGTGGTTAAGGGTGGACCACCCCCGAAAAACTTGCCCGCGCCGAGGCTCATTAAAATCTTCATCGCTGGAGAACGGAATGGTCTTGTCCTTTGATCACTTTTTCTTTCTATCGTTACTCTGACTCGTGTATGTTCAATGTCCCTTGAATGACACATTTTTTGTTTTTAAACAAATTATCGTTACGACTGAAAACACGTTCCGTACGATAAGGGAATTGCAAGTTTTAGCAGAAACTGGAAAGCGAATTTCTGAAAAGTCGGCTTGAAATATTGGTAGCGTTGAATTTTTCACATTTTGATCTATGAAATTTTCACTTTAGACGACTATCGAGTACACATCCGGACACGGAACGTGTTAAAGAATTATTTAAATATGCAGAAAAATAATAGTTACGAGTGAATATTTTGTAGCATTTAACTGCACTTTGTGTGTTTGTGTGGGATTTGATGTTATGATATTAAGTAACATGAAGTTTTAAAGAAAAATATTATTTTTTTAAAGGGCTTGTGTCTTTTAAAAACACTATTAAAGGACTGAAGATTCTGATGTAAATAATTTCAGGAAAAAGAATGAGATTTAGGAAGGATAAAAAATGTGTCATTTAAATAATGCAGTGTACTTGTAACACTTCTACTGCCATATTTGACCCATTAGGCATTAATGTCTTACTTTTTAGATGCACTTATTAGAAAAATTACATTTCAAGTAGCCTTAGAAAATGCATTGATTTATTCTTTTTTGCATAATGAAACATATATTAATTAAATAACTACACAATATTCGGTAATCTTAGATTATCAGTAGGTACATAATAGTTGTTCTCACCTAATAGCAAATAACATATTTTTAAATATCCTGTCCTGTAAATTGTGATAAAATAGCACCAAAATATTTAATTTTACATAATATTTGTGAAACAAATCATATAAGAAATAGAACACAACTATTTAACCATTTTAGAAAAATACTTTTGAAAATCGAAAATGAAAAATTACTTTTAAATTACGTTTATTCGCAATAAATGTATAGCAATTGAAACAGGAAACGTTAAATTTACAACGTATGTCAGTGTATATTCCTGAATAGGCTAATGTCAAAGAAATTAAATAAACAAATATGTAGTTAATACATATATTACTTCCGTTGCCTAATGGGTTAAAGCAACTTGAAACGCTTCATTTGTTAATTTATCAACAATTCTTACTCTATACATGTTCACGTAAGTATACAGGGTGGCGCAATAGTCTCCGACACTTTTGTGTTGTTCATAAGTTAGTACGTTACATTTATACACGACAAATTTTAAGCACTAAAGAAAAACAAATAATAAATATAAATTTCTAACGATAAAGAAAAATAGAAAATCTTGAACACGAGGTAAAGTATTTGTCAAGTAGACAAAATTATTGCAATTAATAACGAATAAAATATATTCATTGCGGTATTTTAGACGTCATATGCGAAATTCTCTGACATCTTTGTTTCCTTTATACGTCGGAGGGTTAGAAAGAAAGTAAAAAAGAAAATTGAAACGCAGAACTACAGTTTTATGCATTGAGATTTTTTCCATTAAGCGTGCAAAATGGTGCCACTTAAATAAGCTCCTTCCTCTTGATGGCACAAATGTCCCCGTTTTTCCACACTTTCCATAACTTCTCGCAAAGTTTCAGCAGTTACGTGGGCGATTTCTCGTTCAACGTTCCTTTTCAGTTCAGCTAAGGTTCGCGGCTTGTTTACGTAGACGTTTTTCCTCCAAACAGTCCCTCGGAAAAGAATCTGGCGCCGTTAGATCTGACGACCTGCGTAGGCCGCCTCAAGTCGCCATTTTTCTTTTAGGAAGTGTTGCCTCGATAGAGCGCGTATTTTATTTAGACGAGAGCCCTATAGAATCGTCTAAATGCCCTTTGAGTTGCAATTGTAAACTTATTATTTTGAGAAAACAAGATAGCGATTTCTCTTCTTTCTGCTATCATACAATTTTCCATGTTGAACTTCATACCTGAATCTGTGAAACGAGAAAGAAAGAAAATTGACAAATGTTGGTAAAAACAGGAAAGTTGTAATATCTGTAAATGTGTCAGGGACTTTTGCGCTACCTGGTATACTTGTCTCTATGTATCTATACCAACTATTACCTTCTTTTCAACTGCTTGTATATTGGAGTGTATATCTATATGTACACATTGTTCGTGCTCGATGTTCGATGTATTCACCTTTTAGTACGCATGAAAAAAAAGGTGAAAGAATTAATAAATTTTTCGAATGGTTTAATAAAGGCAGTTTGTCTGTGTGTGTTGTATTGTCCATGTGTCCTGTCAGGGCTTTTACTCGTTCTCCCTCTTGTGTCAGTTGTTTCATTTAATTGCATTTCTGCTAATTTCGTTATGTACGGTGAGTTAAACAGTCGAGTTGTACAGTCTGAGGCAAAAATTAGAAGGCAATCTGAAACTTTCTATATTATGACAAATGAGACGGATATTTTTATGGTATTTGAACAGACAAATTTCACTGTTCGCGTTCTTTGGATTCGCTTTTGAAGATATTTTGAAAATATAAAAATTAAGCGTAGAAATGTACAAAATGGATGCCGAGAAAGAAACTTAAGAAAATTTTTATAAATTTGAGAAAAATTCGAGGAATAGGAGATAATATTTAGGTTGAAAAGTATTTTATATAGAGTAATATTCGCATAACTCGACGACTTGATATTACTCGTGATGTGTTTGTTGTACGAAAATGTGTATAAAGGAAAGATTGCATGATTTCAAAGGGAACATAAATAGGTTACGATAATATTTTTTCCTCCTACGTTATTTACACTTGAAGTTTTAAAGGGAACACTTTATAGATTTTTGCTGGAATTTAAAGTGGATTAAAAACTGAATAAATATGTATCAGCTGACTGAAAACTGAAAATCTAAATCTAAAAAATTTGTTATTTACAAAAAGATACAACATTTGAAACTGGTGCGTTTGTAGAAGAATTTGCGAGTCAGTAATTTCGTCTACTTTCTGAATTTCTAAAAATTGTCGACCTCTTTTTTGAAGCATGATGTACTTACAAAGAACGGACATAGAGAAGAAGAAATTCAATTCTACGTGAAAGTGTTTCAATAAACGCGTACTCGAGGACGCTCCTTTAAAGAGTTATTTGCCAGGGAACTTCCGGTTTAACGGGATCGTGAAATTTTTACGTTTTGAGAAAATTAAAGGACGATACTCGCGAGTTAATACAGGACAACGAGAAAATTCTGTCCTTTGTGAAACAATGTGAGAAATTCTTCAAAGGAAAATGGAATTTTTTCCAACTCTCGGGCCTGAATCGTGTCAACTGTGAAAATTCAATTTCGAGATCTGGTAAAAGTGCAACAAAAATCTGCCTGGCGAGAGAAACGGTAAAATTGTTTCTCTTAAATTTTCCTCGAATTTTAATCTATAAAATTTTCAACGAATCTTTTGTATATTTTTGTCGAATGTTTGCAGTAGTCGTGTAAATATTAAAATTTCAATTTTACCGGTTAATAATAATGCAAGAATTTGTGTTTGTCTTGATTTTCAATTTCCCGTAGAATTTTTCGAAAATTCGTTGTATTTTTATTAAATTTTAACAGCAAGCATGTCGATATTAAAATTTGAATTTCTCGATTGGAAAATAATGCAAAACCTCGTTTTGCACACATAATATCTTCTTTTCAATTTTTATCGTCGATTTCTCTTTACAGTTGAATGTTAAAGGAGTGTCCTTTAATTAGAATTGATGTTAAACATGGCTGTTTATCAGTGTTAACTGTTTATTCGTACAATTATTGTACATTGTCCTGCCTCATATTGCCCTGTTGTAACTTTTCTTTCGTTTCTGATATTTGCAGAATTTATAGAAGAAAGAAAGCAGTTATTGGAACTTGTCGGTCCTGAATTGCAATCGATTTATGACGACATGGGAATCGAGGTACAAAAAACAGGAATCTTCGTAATGTGTAGAATGAAATTGAATTAAATTTCATTTTACGAACACTAGTCTATTTTCCGGGAAATTAACACTTTTAAATTTAGCGTCGATCAGGCAATATTTCATTACAAAATGAAATGGAAAATATTAAAAATTGTATTTTCAGTCGAGAAAAATGAATTTTATCAATATTGATGTTGGTACAAGGAGATTCACTGTGCCTACAGAATGTTCATGTGCATTTAATTTGTTTAATTTCAAAATTTGTCGAGAAATATCACAACGGAAAGGGTTTAGAAAGTATTGCAATCATGATTATTACAAATGAAACCATTTTTTTAAATTAAGGTCTCTCGTTTATTAAATTTTACCATTCTAGCTTATATAAGTTTTTTATACAATATTTTATCGTTTAATCGACGTTTAAAATCTATGTTTTTTCGTCACTTTTGACTCATTTTATTGTAAAGCAAATTTTGCTTAATTACTTAGTTATCTTGAAAAAATCAACAGTGAGATTTTCATACTACGTACTTTTTTAGGAATAGAGTTTATCAATATTTGGTTAATCGTACAGTCAAATTCAAAATTTCAAGTTTACCTGTACGGTTGAATCGTAGAAATTTCAATTCAAAGAAAGTTTTAGGTCACGATAATTTTTACCAATGTTCAATTTCATCTTTCAACATTCGCATGCACAATAATTAGCATTAACCGAAATAATAATATAGGTTCTGTTGGTGGATATGCAATATGCAACGAACGTAAATCCTGATAGAAATCCATTCTTAGCCGAATATTTTTTGGACGAAATTCACGCCGCTTATCAACACTCGAGAGGCTGTTTCCTGTTGGTAAGTTCACAATTATAGTATTCATAATCAACGAAGAATACAAGTATTCGTCGTATTTATACACAAACACGACAAAAAAGTGGATGAAAATCATCGAAATTTGGAAGGAACTGAAATAATGAGAATAATTGAACGAACAATTTTAAGCACCAAGAAAAAATAGGAATAAATGTAAATTCCTAGCAGTAAAGAAAAATAGAATATCTTGAACACGAGGAAAAGTATTTGTTAAATAGAGAAAGTTATTGGAATTATTGCTGAATAAAATATGCACATTTCCCGTAACAAATAATTCACTGCGGTATTTTAGACACAATATGTAAAAGTCCTTGACACTTTTGTCTCCTTTATACGTCAGAACCTAGGGAAGAAAGTAAAAAATTGAAACGCAGAACTACAGTTTTATGCATTGAGATTTTTTCCATTAAGCGTGCAAAATGGTGTCACTTAAATAACCGCCTTCCTCTTGATGACACAAATGTCCTCTTTTTTCCACACTTTCCATAACTTCTCGCAAAGTTTCAGCATTTACGTAGGCGATTTCGCGTTCAACGTTCCTTTTCAGTTCAGCTAAGGTTCGCGGCTTGTTTACGTAGACGTTTTTCCTCCAAACAGTCCCTCGGAAAAGAATCTGGCGCCGTTTGATCTGACGACCTGCGTAGGCCGCCTCAAGTCGCCATTTTTTTTTTAGGAAGTGTTGCCTCAATAGAGCGCAGATTTTATTTAGACGAGAGCCATAGAATCGTCTAAATGCCCTTGTTGCAATTGTAAACTTATTATTTTGAAGAACAAAATTGCCGATTTTTCTTCTCTCCGTTACAATTTTCCGTGTTAAACTTTATACTTGAATGTGTGAAACGAGGAAGAATGAATATTGAAGTATATTGAAAAAAACAAGAATGTTCTAATATCTGTAAATGTGTCAGGGACTTTTGCGCCACCTTATATTAAAGTCGATCGAACAGGCCTTCTGCTGCAGCAGGTACTTGAAATTTGTCGCTATTCATTTAATATGTCCCTGCAGTCTTCGTGATTTAAATTGATAGAACGTAAAGACCGTGTATTTTACGTCGAGTTGATTGGAACGAAATATGGAGGGAGTGCTTATTATCCGCGAGTCTGCGAATGAAATCTGAAAGGGAGTCGAATAATGGTACAACAAAGTCTACTTTAAATTGCAGAGAAAAAAAAAATGAGTACGCTGTAAAAGGGACGTAAAAGCTGGACCATTTGCATCTTATTGACGGTAGAATTGCTATTATATATTGCAGCTGCATTTTAACATTCACGTCACTGAGTGTGTGTCTCTGTAAAATATGACCAATCGATAATTTTTAAATATAATTAGCGACATTTTAGACAGTTTTTATTCGAATGTTGATGTGTCTTAGTTACCTGGACTTTCGTAGTATACAATTGAATAGTATGTTATTATTATTGCTTTTTGGCGAATATATGTTGCCTATATAGAAATAAATTTATTTTTTTATATTATTGCAAATCTGTTTGTCGATGGGGCTGTACCTCACAATTTCAAATTGTCGAAGAGTGTTGTTGTACCACTAGCACGTCCATGTTTCTTGGCTTTTAACGAAGCAGGAAATTCGATCAATGTAAAAAATGTAGAAGACATTCAAAAAGTAAAACGCTTTAGTTAGTTACGACAGAAATGATCAAATAAGAAATATTAAAGTGTTTTCTCAGCATTATTACTTGCAATAATTTTTTTTTTTACGTACTCTTTAATTTAACTAACATTGCTTTTCTCTTACACAATGTAAAAGTAGATCTAAGTGCAGACATACAATTTTTCTTAGCACGTGACTGGTTTATTATTGAAAGAACACATGTCCTGTTAAAATAACAATAATAAAAACATTACCCAATATTCCATAATTTTGATGAGTTTTTTTTTTTTTGTTGCTCCCGTACAGTCACAATTCTTGAACTTATGCCCTTTCAAAAATAATCGATCTAACTTTACTTGGAAGTTTTAACCTTTTTAGCAGGTCTCGATGTGCTTTTCTGAATTTAAAGAAATAGTCCAGTCCAATTTTAATCTAGGATTCTTTTTATAAATTGCAAATTTTCCGGCCTGTGGTGTGCGGTGCACGGTGGGTTGTCTGATCTCAGGCACCTTTGGCCCAGTTTTTTAATTCTCAAATACGAACTCTTCCAATTTCTTTTCGTGGACAAAAATTGAGAAATGAAATTTTAATCCTAATTATATTACCTATTGAGCCACTTTTCTCAGTCATTTCGTTACAATTTTTCCAAGAAATTTGGATAAATTTTTAACCAGAGCATGCGGGAAATTTTTCATTTCGTTCCTCAATTTTTAGCTGTTCGTTTCGGTCGAGCTCAACAAACACATGGTCTCGTATTTTCACGTGCTTTTCGTGCCTTTGTTCCGCGCTGTTGTCGTTTCCGGAGATCATGCGTCGTCTGTTACGCTCGGGTGCAGATGAAAGAACAATTTTTCTGATATTTCAGATATTTTTTTTTAGGAAAAAGGATACAGTAGAGGAACATATCGCGCTTTTTGAAATTTCTAAACGTTTCGTTGGTTCGTTTAAACGAAGTGAAAATCGGTTAATTGAAAAAATAAATTCGATACTGCGTTTTAGAAAATCAGCTGCTTGAAATAAAAGACTGTCCTTTATATAAAAGAAAAAGAAGAAACATACGGTCACATATAATCATGTAACACAAGATTTTCTTCAACACGCTACGAATTTTCGTGCTGCACGAGGATTTACCTTGTTACTATGCTACAACGCGTATTATTTTATTCTTCCTCGTTAGCGCAAAACACATAGTACCGTTCTATTCTCGCTCATTAGCAGGGAATCATACAAACGC